GGTACTGCCTTGAGAGTCTTCAGAGGGATTACCTTTTCCCTCGCTGTTTTTTCTATGCCATAGTTGACTTTCATCAACTCACGCCTTGCAGTGGAGATAACAAAAATGTCCCTGTCCCCATAAAGTCCTTGCTCCTAGAGGCTCAGATAGCACAGATGCACCAGTATATAAATGGATTTTTTTTTTTTTGTCTGCCACTGGATCTTTGCAGGTCGCTGTCCCAGGAGATCAGAGTTTTATCTATAAGAGCAATGATCCTGCAAGGGCTGTATCCTGTACGTCCAGCTGGACACTGGCACATGACCCCAAGCACCAAGTTTCTCCCCGTTCTCAGCCAAAGCCTCTCAGAAGAAATGAAGCACCTTCGGACACCTGAATTCCTGTTTCAGTGCCCTGAAAAACATTCCCCCAGTTTCCTGTCTTTAAACAGCTGACAAGCTAGCCCCTCTCATTCATTATATGTTTTAAGCCCATTTATCTATTCTCAACTTGGAATACCAGACCAGCAGGTCTTTTGTAATTGGTAAAAAAGGCTACAAATACCAATTCACTCTCCTAGGAGAGGATGACTTTTTTTTTTTTTTTTTTTGCTTAGTACAACAGAAAATAAAGGATTTGAAAGGCCACAGGTCGTTAATTTGAATTAACTCGATCATTTACTGAACTGTTATTTTTCACTTGCTTCCAAACATCGTGTTGTATAGCTTGCAGGTAACATTAGCATCCAGTTCAGCCTCCTACAGACCAGAGTCCCTGTTAAAAGGCCCGTTTTTAACCTATTGTATTTGGAGGAGACATCCGCTTTTGAATATTTAAATTAAATGCCATGCAAAGAAACTGAAACCCAATTGCACCACCTCACAAGGCCAAGATTTCAAAGCTTTACTAATTGTATAAAGAAGAAAAAAACCATATAAAAATATATATCCACGTTTTGCATATATTCTTTTTTGACAGTTACCTGGCAAACTCTGCAAGAAAGGGCTACTTCAAGGAATTAAGTCGCATAAGGTGAGCAAACTGTGAGCCCTGCTTTATTGCACAGCCATTAGCCATACAAGAAACCGCACCATAACGTTAATTTTGGAGCTCCAAGACGCTGGCCCTGAACAGAATTAATGCGTGCGCACACATTTGCTGCACAGTCATAAATTTCAGTAATGCAATTTTACGAGCCTCTTCAAAAGTAACCACCACCAAGAAAAAAAATTAGTAACCAGGAAAGGCAGGTAAAGTTCAGCAGCAATATTTCATTACCAGGACAAGGAAAGAAGACAGACGACTTTGCCTTCTTGGTTCTCCCCTCTCCCCCCACACCATTACTTGGGGGAAAACACTCAGCACAACAAAGATTTGTTTTATTGCAGCAAGCACGTCCGCGCGGCAGAACGGCCGATAAGAAGGTCTTCAACACAAGCAGAGATCTGTCTGTCACTAAAGCAGAGTTTACAGCAAAGCTTTTCTACAGCCCCCAGCCTCCCTCACCGTTTCCAGGGCCAGGCAGAATAAATTGGCGTTTCTCTAGTCCCTCTCCCAGGTAGAGCTGTTTCACCACGGACAATTCCCTTTTATCCCTCCCTCCACTCACCCAAAGCTGAGGGGGGACGTGAGCGAGCGGCCGCTGTCGCGGAGCGGGGACGGGGCCCCGCCGCGCGCTGGGGGACAACCCGCGGACACCGCACAACGTATGGCTCCGAGAAAGCACCAAGAACAAAGCAATTTTGCTGGGAATAGCAGCACTTGGCATTGTCCTTGAAACGCCAACAGTCAGAATTGTATGTTCCTACTCGAGAATCTCACCCATTTATTTCTATCTTTAATAATTTAAGTCAGTTTTCAGCCCTCTGGTTGCAGAGACCAGCCTGGAAATGCAGCTTCTGCACGGTCCAATGCACGAAAGCAAATAGGAATCACCTATGTAATCCTGCGATTTCCAAGGCAGTCTCACGATGGTTTTGCAGGGAGAGGAAAGGCCAGACCCATGATTCCTGAACTGCTTTAGGCTGCCAACCCCACCACTGTGACAAGGAGGGCTCAGACCTGGGGTGATTTTTCAGTTGAGGCCAAAGTAGCAACATCTGGCAGAAAATTCCCCCCTCCTGTATATTCCCTGAGGAAATCTGGGTTAATTTTGAGGAAAGGTAGGATCCATATGTCCAGAGCTCAGCACCCCAGAGGAAACCTCAAAATCCACCGACCCTGGGTGCAGAGGGCAGGGAGGAAGAGGACGAGGGACAGGCTAAGTTGGGGGAAGCTGGGGCAAAGCTCTTTGTTTCTAAAAGACCTCCAGCTGCCTCCTCAGCAGCAACCACGTCTCCAGAGACCCTTTTCTCACTGTTTCCTCAACCCAACACTGTAGTAATTATCCTGGACAACTTCCCTGGTCCAACAGGGAACTATGCACATCTCCTAACCCATCCACTGCTTTTCCTTTCCTGCACACCAGGACCTACGACGGCTCACCAAGTGAAACTGTGTACAGGCCAAGCATGGTTGCTCTCTTGTGCTGAGCTCATCCAGGACCATTAATTAGGCTGCCTTAAAATCTCAATCTATTGGTCGTGGGAAGGACAGGACCTACTATTGCTTCTGGAAGAGCCTTGTAGCTCTCATACACATGGTTTGTCCTGCAATGCAGGAAATAAATCCAACCAAATGGGACTTACCTACAGGAGAAGCTGGAGTGCTGACTGCTCGCTTCTTCCTTTCTTGAAGGTTTTGGCCCTGTTTCTAATTGGGCTGTGAAGGTTTACGTAGCGGCCTGCGAGAGGCCGTGTGGTCCGTTGTTCTCTGAAGTCACTCGAAGTGACCAAGCTTGCTGGAGTTATTAATAGCAGAGCAGCACTTTACAAGGTTTAATGCTCTTTCCTGAAGAGATAACAAAGAAAAAATTAGATGAAAGCAAACATTCCCTCTTTATAAATACTCTCACAGACGCTTATCTTTTCCTGAAGCGCGCACCAATAAAACTGACCTTTCCTTTAAACAGGACCACACTGCAGGCAATTGGGTAGGCTGCAGGCTACTTTCGCATCCTCGATGTGTGGATTCAATGGGACAGAGGCACAGGAGCCCCAGGGGGGCAGAGTACGGCCCAGAGATCCCATATTTTGTGTGTGTCAGGCAGAGAGGTTCAGCAAAGCTGCATCTGAAATAAAGAATTCATTCAACGAGTACAGTTGATTACTGGGAACAACGCCTTCAAAGACGCACAGAAAGCACGGGGCTGTGCCTTGCTCATGCCTATGTCACTGCTGCCAGTGGCTTTCTCCCACCTTGAGACTTAGTGGCTCTGGCCAGCAATGGCCCCATCTCCTGCACAGCGGCAGCCTGAGTGAGGTCCATGTATCCCATATATCCAGCCATGGGGCAAAGCCACGCGGTGCCAGAGCCCTTCAGATGTTTTTGCATCAAGCTGGTCTTAGCCGTCCGAGTGGGAAACACCTTTACCTGCGCTAGGTGTTTTGCCTCCGTGGTAAGCCAGGTGCCTAGCTTGAAGCAGCCCCCATCCTGAACAGGCTCAACAAAGCAAAGTGTTTTTCCCTTTAATTTTAGGCGTTTTTTGGCTCTTACCAAGCTCTCATTTAACGGTAAGACTTCAAAAGGTGTTTATGCAGTAGAGATAAGGAGATCAAGATCTTATGTTACTACATTTTAATTTCATTGCTCATCATCTGTTGTTGTCTTTCCTGCAGCTTCTCTTTGCCATCTCGGGTGCTGGATGTTTTCAGTGGTTGGCTCAGCTCTGCCTCGGTCTCAACACCTGGAAATTTCAGATGACCTGGTTCCTTAATTAACAGCTCGGAAGCAGTGAATTAAACCCGTACAGAGATCCTAAGCACACTGATTGCCTGCTGATAGGTAAGTGACTATTAATAGTTATCTGTAGCATAAATACATAAGGGAAATAGATACCAAAATATTAATCATGGCCCTGTTAAAAGAGGTGATGTGGCATTACTCAGTCATGAAATAACCTGCAAGATGAAATATTACGATTAGTGTCAAGAGCTTTAATACGATGAAAATAAAATTAAAAAAAGCCTAACTCATTTTTCATTATCTTATACCATCTTATTATTTCACAAGTGAGAAATCCATTAGCAAGCCTGCCAAAAACTAGATAGGATGCTTAGTTATCTAACACTGAGGCACTCACATCCCGTGACTATCTTGATGTCCCTGGAAAAAAGAAGAAAAGCAGTGGAGTAATAAATTATTATAGCTGTTTCATTAAAACTTAGGACGCTGTAATTTTCAAGTTTATTTGGTATTATATTTAAATGAACCAAAAGGCAACATTGTACAGTAACTTTATAAAATAAAATTGTTACATAGTACATTAACCAAAGCCCCCTTTAAAAAAAAAAAAAAATCCTAAAAAGTCATTTGGGGACAGATCCTGCTCTTCTATGCACATGATTTATTGCGCTGATTTCAGCAGCACTCTTTTGTTTTAGGAAGAGCAAATGGGATTTGCCCTGAAATGCAATTTTTTTTTTTTAAATAATTCTTGCAGTTTCATTTTATCATGTGTAATATATCAAGTTTATAAGGCATAAATAAGAAAAACTGTTCAATATGCTCAGCATTATTTTAATTGAGTAATACAGTCTAGGACACTTTTTCAATCACACCAAGGATTACAATGTACCTATAGCTTTAATTTGTTTTTTTTTTTTTTTATACAAAAGTCTATCATATAGTATACAGTATATACTAGTTGATAACTGGTTCACACGGTTGAGCACGATATTCTTGCAGGTTAATAGTGTCAGAATTTCACCTAGCATCTGTATTCAGTGGGGCCCCCCCCCTGCCACAAACCACTGCCCTCCCCGAATCACCGATGGCAAGACCTTGCCATGGTGTTACCTTTGCTAGTTTAAGAGAAGAGCTTCTGGCTGGATCCGAATCCCGCTGGGACCTATTGCTGCTGCCACGCTTCCCGCGGGTGCCGGCTGGGGGCCCGGCCACGGGGGGCGGGGGCCCACGGAGCGCGGGAGCCGGCCGCTGCTTTTTCCCGGGTCTCCTGGCCCCACCGAGCGGGGCCTCTGGGCTAGACCGCGGGGAGACCCAAAGCCCCGATGGGGGCTGGCACTGACTGCGTGCGTGCGACAAGGGTGGGCACAAGCACCCTGCCGAAGTAGGGACGCCGTGGATGCTTCGGGACGCTGCGTGCTTGCTTTGGGCCAGCCCATCACCTGCAACTCCAGAGCCCCCCAAATTCTTCCCAGGACTACGGGCACCTCTAGGGCTAACACTCACCCGGTGCCGGCACTAAGCACGTTGCGGAGCTCCTGGCAATCCCTGCATAGATGGAAAAGGGGGCCCAGAAACCTCCTCAAATGCAGCAGTGCAAGAATAGCCTCAATCTGCCCCTGCAATCAGTAACGCTTCCTGCATCTTCCTCTTCTATCCAATTAGATATTCAGATATAATCTAAAAGCCAATGACTAAGCTGCAACGGAAGAAGCACTGCCGATTTTGGCAGGCGTGTTTGGGTATGGGGCTCTCTTGCTGGTGGACGCACCATGGGCAAGGGTCCAGGGGTGCAGCGCAGCACCCCATCCCAAACCCATCCCACCGTGGCATGTGAAGGACCGACACGGTGCCACTGCCAACACTGCTCTTTCTAACGTCCAAGGGGAGACAAAAAAGGGCCTTCTGACATTCTCTGGAACCAAGCAGAAATTCTTATGTATACCCTCAACCTAAACTGCGCGTGAGGTAAACCGCAGAGCAATACTTCTCTGGAGTGTGTTCACATGTCTAATATTAGACACCTTACGAGCTGCGCTGAAATGTCTCTGGAGCTCTCTCTACCTGTCTATATTTACTCCATACGGATCCTGAGCACCTGAACTCAGGTGCTCTGAATTATTCCATAACCGAAGGCCTAAAACAGACAGTGTGAATGACCCCCCGCTGCTGCGACTCCACCCTGCAGCATCTGGAAGGAAAGAGAAATCTTGGTACTAGGAAGGGGCCCAGGCCACAGAATTTGGGTCAGGATTCAAGCCAGGCAAGTGCAGGTTTGGGACTAGGGGGTTATCCCCGTTGTGTATTTGCTAACGTAACACCCAACCCTGTGCTTACAGTTCTTTTGCTGATAGATCAGTGGGACCAGGGATCACCTACTCCTAAATAAAACATAGCACATGAGCAGTGCATAAACGGCGCTCCGGCTGCAAGAAAGAAATGACACAAATCTAAAGTCACAACAAAGCCTTCGCCTCCCACATACCCCTTTTCACTTCTTTCTCTTTTCTTTCTTGTTTTTAAATCAGCCAGAAACAAAGAGCGAATGTGGCTCATCCCAGAAAGCCCCAGCAGCTGGAGAGCCAGGGAACGGGAATAGCTGCTGTGTGATCATGTAGGGGGGCTGCTTCTGAAGAAATCAAATTATCCTAGGTAAAGAGCATTGACTAGAAGAGTCTCCTTCTCCTTAGAGGACCAGCAAGATCACATTATTTTCTGAAAAAATTTTTTTTAACTTTTTTTTTTTTTTTTAATCTCTAATTTGCATAAGAGAAATATTGTCCGGGTATTTGCTTTCAGCAGCCATGGTAGGCAATTTCTGTCATAACTTGAGAATTCCTTTTAACCTGCTATTTGCATTTGGGATGAAGCATTAAGTGGATGTTTCTCAGGGGATACAGACTGCTTGCTGTCCAGTAGAGGCAACCATCATTCTTAAGTACATTAACAATAGGGAAGCAAAAGGACTCTCTGCAGAATGCATTACATTAATAGCAAGTTTCCACTAGAGCTGAAAAACTGTGCCCTTAATATAAGTGCTCAGTAACCACCAGCCCCTGCTATTTGAGAAGCACTCTGAACCGTATAGAAGGCTTGCGGGAAAAGAACCTCCATTAGTACCCATTACGCTGTGATTTATGCTATGGGTTTAAAATAGCAAAATTAAACAGTTCTATTTAATCTATGGTCTAAAAAAAGGCACAAAGACTTTGTGACAAAATTATAACTGCTCAGATTACATTTACAAGAACTGTAACAGAGCGTTGCTCGAATTTGCCAGCTCTGCTCACTGACAGGAGTGAAACTGAGAGAATTTCGCTGTCTGCGGAGGTAAAGAATACCCTTTTAGCAAGGCGTGTTTGCCAGCTCTATGCAAATGTTATTCAACAAAAGCAACTGAAACCTTCTTTTGATTGCTTTAAAACATAATCTTTTTGGTCTGCAGCACATTGCACTTATCTAAGTACTCCGTGATGATAAAGTGGGTCTTAGGGCAAGACCAAATATAAAGAGCCCTTTTTAATCTGAACATAGCAGCTAACTCTGTTCATGGCTACACAGTCTGCTTGTAGTCAAATGATCATGAAAGACATAAATATTATAAAACAAATAAAATACATTCAGAGTTTTCTAAATTGTAGAGAGCTTTCAGACTTTCTTAGCTCCCTGATGTAATGCATATAGAACATTCCCCTCTATACAGTGCCACCTCCCCGTACTCACACCTCCGGTAAATGCAACATAGCTCAGACAACCTTCCTCTTTTGCCTGGATTCTCATCAGTTTCTGATTCTGTAAAACATTATATAGTTTCTTTAGGAAAAAAGTATTGCACTTTTAAAAATGCATAAAAATTGAACCACGTTCCCATAACTCTGCCGCATGGTTTGTTATTTAAAATAATACTTCTCAAAAAGTGTTTTTCTTGTTGTTTTTTTCTACGATTACGACATTCAGGATATCCTCAGGACATTCTTCCACAGCAAATTCGTTACAGTTGTGCCATCAGACGTTTGAAACACAGCACGAGCTATCTGAAATACACACAGGTGGGAGTCACAGGTCTGTCCGCAGAGTCAGGATTTCATAGTACAAATGGGAACTACAATGACCAGAATAACCGTACAAGCTGCCGCTGCTATCAGGGCAGCTATCTTGCAGACCTTTGCTCTTCTGAACTCGGCCTCCTTGCGTTTTAATAAGGAATCATAGCCAGGAGTATAAATGTCTTCCATCCAGTATTCTAAGTTGTTTGGGTTTAAAGATTCTTGAGTCTAAAAATTAAAAGGAAACAGTTGTTAATTGTCTGGGATCTGTCATTAAACAAATAAATAAATAAAGCAGATGTGCCTGAAAGGTCTCCCGACTGCATTTGGGCCTGCTGTTAGGATCAAGCAGGTTATTGTTGCTTCGCTTCTCACATTCCCGCAACTCCATTTCTCCTGGTCCCAGTTCCATAAGGCTGCTGAAAGCAGCAACAAAATACTGCAAAGTCTCTCATGTAGTTCCGGCCTCCTGGAAACTTTGTCATCTCGGGTGGCTTTTAAATAAAATCTCTTTAATCTGCAAGACAGCAGGGATGTCAGCTACTACCAGTCTGTTACCACTTTTTAAATTATGAAAGCCCAGCTGATGGGAATGGTTCTTAACATATACTCCTCGTGAATTATGTTTTACAAAGATAACCCTAATTTTGCTACCATAACTTGCTCACAAAGGCAGGTCCCATCTTCCTTGTACAATTTTTTATTTTACTTTTGCCACACCTTCCCTCCTGTTGACAGCTGAACTCATTGCATGTAATTGTTTGCGTACTGTAGCATTTACTCTTGCACCTGACTTTGAAGTACATTGCCCTCATATTGTGCCACACGTAGATGTTAACATTCACATATTCTCTTGTCTTTTTTTATAGCCACGCTATATTTCTATACACAAAACACACAGGAAATAGCAACGAGAGGGCATTGCCAGAGAAAGTCCCAAGCCCTCAGCAGTCTCAGAGCAGGGACCACTAATCCCAGGTAATTACCCAGCCCCATCCTGCACCCAGACCCTGTGGACGGGCAGGTCACGGACCCCCGGCTGGCAGAGAGCCAGCCCCGAGGGCGCTGCGGAGGTGCGGGGTGCGCACGCACCCACGGGCCCCCCGGGCAGCGTCACCCTCGGCTTCACCCTCTGCTTCCAGCAGCCCCCCCCCAACAGCACCCGCATGCACGACGCTTCAGGGGCAAGAGGTGACGGTGAACTGGGCACGTGGCACCGATTTGCTGCCACACATGACACCCTCCAGCCTGTCCCCGCGGGTGGCACCATTTAATCCTGGGCACAATCTGTGCTTCCACGGGTGGCATCTCCCTGCTGACTGCCAGCGTCCGGCTCCCTCTGGGTTAGGGGACTCCCTTAAGAGTAAGTTTAAGAAATGAAAGACTTTGCCCTCTCATTTCACAAGCTAACAAAAAAAAGGTGAAGAAAATCTGAACTGGTCACAGGATGAAAGGCTGTATGGGGAGTTCCCATCAGCATCTCCATCTGAGTGTTTTATTTTTTAATCTTTTTTTTTTTTTAGTTTTTTTCTTCTTTAGGATTTCTGAACTCTCCAAGCTTTGCATTTCCACCATGTTTGTTTTCTCCCTTCATCCTTTCTGCAAGGGAAAATAGGAAATAAAATGTGGAAAATCCAGACCCCAGGCATTACATTGCACTTATCAGCAGAAAGATATAAAACAGAAATGTGAACAGGGGAAGAAAAAGAACATTTTAAAAAATGACAGCTTTTTCTCAAAGCTGTCTCCTGTGTCTGAGGCTCCAAAAGGCCATTTCTTTCAAAAATGAAAAAGATTCCACATAAAAATGCTCCAGTGAGAATAGTCTAACACATACCTTTCCCGTGCTCCTCATGGGCCTGATCCAAAGCTCATTGGGCTCAGCACCAAGAAACTCCTGCTGACTTGAGAGGGAGGGATTTCAATAAGCCTTTAATTGGCTAATTCAGATTTTGTGACCACAAGCTACTGATTGCCTGAAGCAGCATTTGCTTTATGTATGGAACTACTACAAGAAATGATTTTACAGCTACTCTACAAATAAACAATTAAAGTTAAGCAACAGTTTTACGATCATTTAATGGAGATCTGTCTGACAGTACCAGTACACTAAAACACAGACCATCAACCGAGTCTGAGACTGCACCATTCGGTCTGTGAATGACCTATTCCAGCCTTCCAAATAGTAAACTGTGAAAAACTAGCTTGCTTTTCTCTAAAGGCATCAGAAATTAGCCTGATTGTATGTCTCATCGTAGGGGCTCTTCATACGAAGACCAACGCAAGGAGATCTCTCATAGACCTGGGACAAACTCTGGCCTTACTATAGTTTTGCAGTTTCTTTTTCAAAGAAGGAAGACCAACAGACTTGCTGGACTCCAAGATAAGTTTTAAATAAACAGACAAAAAAAAAAAAAAAGATAGCCATGTTTTACCTCAAGGAAATTATAATTTTGGCCTCTCTGCTTTGCTATTGACCTTTTAACTACTTCAGAAGGAAGATGCATTATTAAAAAGGTCCATTACTGTTAATCAGCTTCCTTTCCCACTTCATTGCCAGACGCAGGAATGTTCATTAAAGCATAATGTATTTACTTTCAGTTCTAATAAACTTAATCACTAGGAAAAAACCCACACATCAGTCTGTGTCTATTTTTTAAGTTTGTCAGTAAGCTCTATTACAAAGTCTAGACATGGGCTTTGCAGAAGAGATGCATTTCTGACAGTCCTTTTGGAGGAAGGAATCAGACTGGTAAAATTTTATCACCTTTATCCTAAAGATAAATGATGACAATAAAGCCGATTTCTCTGGTTTGCTCGCAGTTGCATAGAGCTGCTTACATGGAACAAAATGGCCCTACAAGGACCAGATGGAGCACACTTCTCCCAGGGGAACTTTGCTTCCAAATATCACTCCCCTTGTTGCCTCTGCACAGTAGGTAAGAGATGTTTTTCTGGCTGCCTGCTGCAGAGGAACTTCTTTCAGCCTATTCCTACTCTAGCGTACAGTCTGCAATGCCAGGGATAGGAATCCCTATAGGGATAGGATAGCTCTCACGCATCTAAGTCCCAAGGAGCAGTGGGCAGCCAAGGCAAGATGCAGCCTGCTCTTTGTACTACTCGCTTTTTTTCCCGAGTGCACTTTGGCCATAGCAAGAAACAGGGACTAGTCTGGCCAGGGAAACTAGCACGAGCTAAGCCGGGAGGTAAATTTGCTGTGCCCAAGTTCCTGCATGAACATCCATGGGAGTTGCACTGTAGCACTATGTGGGTCATCACTTTAATCCTAAACCAGCTAATGTGGGTTCCTGAAGCAGTAGCATGGCACTTCTGCTTGGGCTGACTCTTTCGTATAGTGCCCTAATGCTCCCCTGTGGCTTAGCCTGACGGGTCTGGAGCTGGGTTAGGTACCTCAACACGATGCTATTGAGAGGTGATGCCAAGCAACGAGTCTCTTGCTTGCCACCTGCCTTGGTAGACAAGCTTCGGGGATCTTCCCTTTGCATATATGGCTACACTGCACTCTGTCTAACACAGAGATGGGTTAGTGCTGTGCCAAAAAGCCCTTAAGCTGTAGGTCAGTGTGGTCCAGCTGCTGCAGCTCTCGCGTCTGCTTTGGAGCACGCAAACACACGCAAGGTGCCCAAATGCCTGAGGGCGGCACCGATCCCTTCCACTGTGCTCTGCATGCAGGGATAGTTCCTATTTTTGTCTAAATATACATAAATGCTGCTGTATTAATGCATATAAGTGATGCACAATGCTCTGTGTGTCAGCATGGATTTCATTGTCACGCATTTTGTGTTTCACGACCAAATATTGCAACACATTTTGAACGGCATTCTTCATGTTTCCTTTTTAAACCTGTGCTCAGATAATCGTCCTTCCTAGAAGATTCCTCGCCTTTATTGGGCTAGGCAGGGTAACCCTTATTAGGGGATCCCAACACGGGTGGCTCAGTTCTGGATCTGGGCAGCCCATTATAGATGAGGAACCTGATTTCTAATGCACTGTAGTTTGGGAAAATTTAAATCCAAAATTTGGATTTGTCTTTCAGTAACTCACTCTGCTCTGCTTGTTGATAGGAAAAGAGCTGTAGAAACAGCAGGGTCCCAGTATCTATCCCTTTGCTTTCACAGGGAGAGAGGTACCCTGGACTAGCTCTAGTCTGGTCTATTAGTTTTTGAAAGGGCATCACTTGCTCCGAGAATGCAACATGTGGTAGAGTTTCATCAAATACACTTGGTTTGCTCTCTCGGAGACCGCTCTGCAACGTGAACCAAAGCCAGGCAAGCAGGAACCATCAAGAGATTCATCTCAAAGGCACACCTCAAGCTGAACTGAAACACTAACAAAACACACCATTAACTGATCTGCTCTTCAGATGACCATGGCTTCCAACAGCCACTTTGAGGCTGCAACAGTGACGTGTTTCAATAAGAACAATAGTATTAAAAGTCTTCCACAAATATTTCACGATCACGTTGCTAGTTAAATGTAAAAAGCCCTAACACTTAAATTCACCATGAGCAGTTCTGACAGAAGTATAGAAGAAAAAGCAGCAATGCCAGATTTTGCGCCCCACAGCGTTACTGTGATCAGGGACTGGTTCATCTCCTCACCCCTCCATCCCCAGTCTCTTTTAGAGCTAGCAAACCAGCAATGGCTTGGCAGACATCTCTCCACTACAGAATGAATGGGGAGCACCAACCCTGTCAAGGATCACATTTCAGCAATCAAACATCCACTTGTTTTCCTTGTCCTTGGCCAGGATGGAGGAGGATCAGCAAGATTAGAGGCTCAAAACTGCACAGCTCCTTCCTGAGCTATCCAAATCCCCTCTTAAATGCATATTCTGGCAACATCTATTCACGATCAAGCCATTCAAATGAAACAAATGGGACTCACTTGTAGATCCAATGCTGCAATTTTGCCTTTATCCCCCGAGTTCCTTGTATATTCCTCTATGGTCCACGATGGCTGGGCGCGTTTCACTTCAGCCAGCTCTGTCAACCTCATATCTGTGTAGAGCGGGTTGCTCTTCATGTGTGACTTGAGTGATGCAGGGTATGGATGAGGACTAAACACTTGTTCAATCAAGAAAGCATCTTTTGGCTGTTTAGAGAGTCTATGTGGCTGTGGGATTTCATATTGCCTGTCTGCCTGCAACAAGGTTCAAAAGAATTTGAGAGAAGAAACAGGACTATGAGGGGGTTAAACACAAAGGGCAGAGCTATTCCTTTCAAATTCACCATACAATAATGCTTAAGTTGTGGTAAGAAAAGTATCAGCTAGGACAAAGGTCTTGGACGGCCTTAATCCATTTACCCACCCTCTCCTCACAGCCAGATGAAGAAGGCATTGTATAGGCACAACTCCGTGTTTGCCATTACACGAATGCAAAGCTAATGCAGCAGTGGAAATTTAGGTTTTGTATTGTTTATAGGTTATAAAACTATTCTGAAGATGCTCTGACATTCAGAAAAGCCTAGCTGATCTGGAAAAGCTAAGAGCCCCAAGGAGGTTTCCAGATTTCTGCTTCCACAACATGAACAAATCCTGAGGGAAGCCACGAGGTAGCATCCCCTTGATTTCACACCATGCCTGGTACTGATCCAGTGTCAGACACGATCCTCCACACGAGGGAGGAAGGGACTTTCAAACATTTCATCCTGGACAGATCAGCCTGCAGAAATGCCACGGTTTTGGCTTATTAAAGGTAACCTTCTTGCCCCTTCTACAACCTGCTAAAAACCCAAGATTTTTTGTTCCTGCAGTTGCACTTGTCTGCATCCAAACTCTACCTCTCCTTCCTCGGTTCCCTGCCCCTGTTCCCCCTCCTGACAAGGCATACCTTGTCACACAGTCCTGATTTACACAGGAACCAAAGGACACCCGCCCCAGACCTCTCCACTGGGCCCTGCTGTCCACAAAATAGAAATGACCTACTGCACCATCCACAGGTTAACTGAGCAGCAATCAGGGCACAGCACAAGGGCGGCCATGATGGCTATGCAGTTTCCTAAGATGGGAGTGGGCGTTTACGAGGAGGGATGGACACAGTTTTTCTGAACAACTGAAAGGAGACCACAAGTATGCTGTCTTCCCACAAAAGGAGATTTAAGACCCATATAAAGGACCATGACAGTCAAATAAAGAAAATATAATTACAGTTTGTGTCTCACACTGCACGCACAAGACTTCTTTTCTTGAGAAATTCATATCCATCTATTTAGTTTGTTGCCTTTTAAATACGCACATACTTCTCTGATAAAAGCCATCACAATGGAATTTCCAAATATTCATTCTAAAACAACCACTAGAGAATTTCAGACTGTAACAATTTTCCTTGCATTCTTCTCATCAAGTTAATTACTCGACCTCCTTTTATCACCACTGATGACGAAGAACATCATCCTCTCCCAGAGATTTTACTCAAATTAACCCCCTCCCTTTTCAAAAGAGTAAAGTGCTTTTAGGAACAACTTGACCATATTGCAGCTGCCAAGCCAGAATATATAGGTACAAAATCACTCAATTACGATAACGATAAAGACAGGCATAATATAGCAGAGCAAAGTATTGTCATACCCTGAGGCTTGTGATGAATATGGAAGACATTCATAACTAGATTATTTTTAAGTGCTTATTATGTGAGTTAAAGTTGAAATTACCTCTTTAGATTTCCTGTGCCAGTCCTTATTTTCTCCTCCATCTCTCTCTTTCATCTCTTCTTCTGTAATGCCAACTTGGTTGGTATAAGTAATAGCTCTCCAATCTCGGGGAGAGTTTGAAATACTTGCTATTTTGGATTCAGTTGCACTATTTTCTTCTGTTAATGATCTTGATGACCTCCTAGTAAATAAACTTTTTTTTAAGGCTTTTACTCGAAGACTCTCACTATTACTTCCACTGGCATCTGAACAGCACCATTCTGGGTTATTCTCCAGTTTACCTCCATGAGGAGTGTTGTGACACTGAAATATCTGGGGGGAGTTACTCTCATCTGATGCAGCCTCGCTTGTCAAAGAATTAAGATCTATTTGTACGCTGACCTTCTCTGGCTGCTGAATTTTTTGATCCAACTTGCTTAATTTTCCCAGGACTTGGGAGATTTCTTCTCGGACACCTGAGAGAGATTCCAGTTTCTTTTCTATTTCACCAATCCTCAAAACTAATTTGCAGACACTCGTTTTCAGTTCATCATCTGTATTACTGATATCTGCCCGGACCACTTTATCTAATTTGTTGCTGACATTCCCATTGGAGATTTTAGTCAAATTATGCTCAGGTGAGCTCTCACAGTCAGATTTATGTACCTGAGACAAGGAACCGGTGCTGTTGTAGCATGAAGACTGCATCACTCCTGTGGATCCGCAGATACTCATGTCATCCAAAAAACGGAAAATGTCACTGATATCATCACTCACAATTTCAGAGTCATCATCCGACTGCTTTAGAGAGTGTCGCTCTCCATACTTGGCTTGGCTCGGTGCACACAAATCCTTGCATTTTTTGTGGTCCAGAACTTGCTGCTCCGTTTGTGTCCCAACACTTGTGGTTCGGTCAATGCTTAAGATCTGAACAGAAGTACAATTAATGCTTTTATCCTTGAACTTTTTGACTGGCTCATGTTTCTCCACATCTAGAATAGAAGGAATCTCCTTGGGTTTATGTCCATTTTGTTTCACAGCATAGTTTGCCTGCATAATTGGTTGCTGATCCTTGGTGTTTAGATAGGACTGATGCCTGTCAGCTGGAGGAAAGTTTGGGGATGGGCAGTTTGAACTCTGGTATCGCGGCTTCTCTTCAGACTGCTTCCTATTAAAAAAGGATCGTTCAAAATCAGGTACCTCCTCAGTATTTAAACTCCAGCTTTTAGCTGGCCAGGCAGTTTGTTTGCTTGGCTTTCCAGTCCACTTTTTGGTGTCCTGAGGCCCGAGAACAGTAGTAGGGCCAAAATATGTTGAAGCTTGAAGATCATCTAAACTTTCATGTTTCACTCGTCTTTTGTCTGGTATAGGAGAATAAACTGGATTCAAGTACTGACTGCTGTAGGGCATTTCAAAGCTGTGGTTGAAGAAAGTCTGCTTAGCGCTTTCTTTCCTGTTCTGAGGCTCTCTGTGTCCATCTTCTGGCTTTTTATTGGATGGTATTAAGCTGGGAGATATGGTAATCAGATTATGAAAATCTTCTTTGAATATATTTCTTTTCTGGACACACGACTGCATCACAAACGGCTCATCGTTTGAAATGAAGGTTTCTTTTATACCTGCACTTATAGGCAAGGAGTCCTGGTCTGAAATAGATTCATTTTCAATGTTCATTGGGAAATACGTGCTCTGCATCTCGCATGGCGGAGACGTGGCAATGGAGTAGGTCGCTAGAGCCTGCAGCCTGTCCAGAGAGGCAGCCCGGCCCTTCATCTCCTTATTAACGCCAAGTAAAAAGTTTGGTTCTGATGAGGGAACAAATTGTTGACAGTCTTTGCAATCCATCTTTCTACATTTTGAAGACCTTCTGGCTGAAAAGCCCCTGTTAAATTCCTGGTCGTTCAGCTCACAGTTAGGCACGCAGTCTGCCATATTGCAGATTTCCGTGTCAGATCTACAGGACTCAAATGATTCTTTCTTCTTCACTTTCTGCCTTGCAACTGGAAGTTTTTCCTTGGCCACTCCCCCGTTCATTTGTATAAGGTTGAATATTGTTACTATATCTGCTGCAACCATGATTTTCTTTGATTGCTGATTGTTTACAGTGCATCTCATTTTGTCTTTGAACAAAGTCGCTGGGAAATTAGGATCCAGGCAAGCGGTGTAAAACAGCACGCTTCTGAGCTTGGCCAACTGGGACAGATCAAACCTCGCACACAGTGATTTGCAGAGATCCTGATAAGAAACGGTATTCTGCTTAGTATCCAGCTCTTCCAAAATCTTCACCAGGAAGAGTGAGGATTCCTGGTTGGTCTCCATGGCTTATGCGTATTTTGTTGTTTAGCCTGGAAGCTACGTTCCACTTCTACAGTAATACACAACAACAAACAAAAAAGATTGTAAATCATCCATAGATAATATTCAGGACAGATTGTGTTCAGCCACAGATTTAACCCGACTACCTAGCCATGGGGTTGAGGGTTCAGTTGTATAACCCACCCTCATGTTTCCAAACTCCAAGGCTGCAATCCTAGCATCGATGAAGTCAATAATGCTTCAGCAGAACCAGGATTTCATCCAAGGAGGCTCATTTATGTCTGTGGGCCTGTCTACTAAAGCGAGCAAGTGAAAAAACAGCAGAAGCTTTGCAGCATCTGAACTAATGGCAAATATACAGTCATGGCCCACTTGCTACTGGGCTTTCACAAAATATCTTATCAGTGTACAGGAGGTTGAAAGTACAGATGTGTCGAACTGGCAACAATTCCATGCCCTGCTCTGGAACCTGCTCTGTGATCTACCACACCGCGATAACCCCAGCTGTTCTCATGTCTGACTGCAAACGACACTCACGAAGATTTTCCGCAATAAACTTTTGGTAGCTGTTGGGGAGTGTCTGAGCAGATAATTACCATCTTGCATATTTAAAAACATTATGTTCTCCTCTATTTTGAATTAGCTCTTCTAGATATCATGATGCTTTTTTCAGAAATACATTTTCCTCAGTTTATGATTCAGGAATGGGAGATCAGTCTTGTTCCATCTGAAAATGTGAGTGCGCCCCATTTCAGCAATGAAGTACAAAATTCAGAAAAGAGCAGAAAGAGTTAAAAAAAAAATCCCTCTGAATCTTGAAACCAATCCAGCAGATGCTAGAGGGCTGACTGCCAATCAGGGTGGATTTGAAGACTGAGAAACATCAAGGACAGAGAATATCCTCTTCAGTGATGCGCTCCCAGAGAAACCCAGGGAACGCAACTCCATTCACTGCCCTTAAACGGTGAGGCAGAGGTGGAGAGCAAAGGCTGCACATGTACGTGGATAATGAAAACAGCTCAAGCAAGCGCAGCTAACACTAGCAAACACATGTGGAAGGATATAAACCCCATGCTTTCTGGGTTGAAATCAATCTCTAGCTACTATGGATTAGGAAAAGATGTTGATGGGGGCAGATTATTTTACACTTGCCTATTGCAAATACTCTTGTCCACGTCTCTGCTGCTGGCTACTAGGAGAGACAGCTAACGGGACTAGACAGATCACAGGATGATGCAGCCCAGCAATTCCTATGTTCAGGCACTTTCTCTTTTTTATTCCTACTGATAGGAATGACAAAAACATTATCCCTTCCCCAAAGAGCTATGGCATCTTCCCTCCATTCACTTCCACCCTTCAGTGTCCCCAGAAACCAGTCTCTCTACCTTAATCTCAGGCAGAATATCTATCCAAATGGCAAAGTACAAAAGTCAACCTTACAAGGTTTCTTATTTCTCACTAGAAAAGTCATCTCCCCACCAGAAACACCAGGACTCCTCAGCACCAGGAATGGGGAATTCCTGTCCCCTCTCTCTTAGCCTTTCACCTGGACCCAACATTACACACGAGCAATCGCTGTCAATGTCAGAAGCCAAAGTACATCAGCTTTGGTAGCTAATGCCACAGTACCATCTTCTAGAGGGAAAAAAGCAAGCCACGAGGTTGCCTGTAAGAATACGAAGCAAATTTCCATGCAGATTTGGCTGTTTATTTAAGAAATATTTTTCTGCTGTCTATAATCAGAAGTTGAGGAGCAACAATGTGAACGCGTTTCTGTGACTGTAAACACAGCTCACAGAAACCAATGGCCATAGGGATTTTCCAATACCTCTGCTGTGTGCATGTCTGCTTTTAAAGCTCCTGTAATATGTAGAGCAGCTCAGCTCTTCTGCTAGCTGACAAGAGAGCAAAAATATATTCCTCAGTGCTTGGCTGTGGAAAGCAACGCTAAAAGCTGGAGGATGGCTGCATCCCTTCTCTCTTTATTATCAGTGAGTGCTTGGAGGCACAACCTCTTTATCAGCCGGCCTTTGTATTTCTCCAACACGTCACCGTTAGAAAACAAGGTTTCCACGCTAGGTCCAAACAGCTCTTCCTACCCGCCACCAAAGTGGCCAACCACCCCTAGAGCAAACTTCAAACACGGGCCTTGCAGAAGCTGGGAATCTTCCCCAGCTGTCAGGGGACAAGGGGTGCAAGACAACTTTTAGCATGTTATTTACCAGATGTGGCAAGAATGGAAATCTGTCTTTGTTTTGCCACCTCCATGCTGAACACAAGCAAAAGCAAATACCTTCCCCTATTCATAACTTCACAGCTTCTCACAAAACCCTCATATGGATATGTGTTTTCACAGCCCAATACGCACTCTACTCTCTCTGCACTGGCCTGCCAAAGCCCTGCTTTCTCTCCATTCACACTCTTGCTAAAATGCAAGTAGCGAGTTCGAAATACTGTATTTCTTAAAACTGCCAACCCCTTTTCTCCCCTACTCTTTCCAAGCACACTAGCTGTACTCTCTCATCCCAGTGAGGATGTCCTAGGTAGTTTCCTGGTTTATTTCTACTTTGCACAAAGCTGTTCTTAGAGTACCCCTCCCATCAGAGGTTTTAACTTCAATTCCGATTTCTAAAATCCACCCCTATGAATCCAACAAAACTTAGGTGCAGCCTGATTTTCACAGGTGCTGAGTGTGGACAAGTTCAGTAAATTCAGAAGCCCTGAACACCCCTGCATCTTGCACTGCTTTTATTTAGCTAGACAAGTACCGACGAGGAGTCTTGGTTTGGGGACTCGAGTCAGCACCCGAATGGTAAGGCAAGGGCAGCGAAGAGTGGATCCCAAGCAGAGGTGCTCTACTAGACCTGGTTTAGCTCAGGATGGGACCTCTGGGGTGTCTCTGCCCTACAGTCCTGCCCCAAGCTTTGGAAGGTGGTGGTCAGCTGTAAAGCAGAAAAGGGATAAGGGGGTGACAGAGGCTTCGAGACAAGGGTGAAGGGGACAGCTGAACCCAGAGAGGTGACAATCCTGCCAATTTGCTCAGCAGAGGTTCAGGTAGGGGAAGGTGGGAATTGAAAAGGAAGGTTGCAAAAATCAGATACAGGTCCTCAGGAAAAGCAGACAGCCTAGGAGTTAGAGCAATTTCCTCTTCACCCCTCGGCTGTTAACAGCTTTCTGTTTACGCACTGAGGTACGAAAAGGTGCCTCTGGGCTTTAAGCTGAGTGCAGAAACGGGTGCTCCCTTGTGTTAGAAGTTCACAAACGTTGCTTGTGGTTCATGCAACAGATTCAGGCTGGGAAAAAACACAGAATGGGATATGCTACCCTTATAAAGGCCTCAAAACTTTGTTTCCAGGGTCAGGGACATAAAAATCGGGCAAACCTAGTGCCCAGGTTTTTTGTGGCACGTTAAGCTCCCCTGTCTTTTGTCAAACCACATAACAGCCTGTGACTGAGACAGGTGCCTCTTGGCAAGTCACCCAGGGAGCTGTCACATCCCAGGTGCCAAGCACTTGGCCATGTGGCACTTTGCCATGCACTGTCTCAGCTGTTAGGTCCAGGTTCATTCATTATCTCTCGAAGCGGGACTGGAATAGCCCTGGTCATGGCACATAAATGCAAAGATCCAAAATAAGCACACTATTCTTTAGAGAGAGTACAGGGTCATGAAAGAGTCAAAAGTTGCAAAGTGAATAAAAGCACCCACAGCAAAAGCAACAGCACGGGGCCAGCTCAGATGGCCTCAATTCCATCAAATTCTGCTACCTGCAGTGGCCGCACATCCCTGTCCCCAACTGACATTGGTCTCCAGAGGCATTGAGCTGACCGAACACGGACAGGATTTAGCTTATTTGTTTTCAGCAAGACAGTCTCTGACCAAATGAGCCATTTAACATTTCATCTTGAAAGATTTTATTATATTAATATGGGGAGGGTCATTTTGACTTAGCTCTTCTAAGACTCAACGTTTGCAGCTCTAATAGCACAATTCTATCACAGTGCGGACTCGTACAACATCATATTGCACAGCCCGTCGATGGGGTCGGACTCTCACTGTTCACAGATGAGCTTCAGCTTACCACAAATCAATGCCTTCTTGCCCTGCACTCAGAGCAATGAACTGAGCTCGTCTTACCATTAACCTCTTGTTTCAGCCTCTGGAGGAGCAGACCAGAAGTATTAAGATTGCAACTTCCATCCCTAGCTATGCTTTCAGCTGCACAAGGGGAATACATTGTTCTGTTTTCTGGTTGCTTTAGGACATCAGTTCTCCATGAGACCTCTCCTCCACGGTCCTCCAGACCAGGGAAACCTGTACATTCTTCTACTCAGCTTTCTTCCCCTCAGGAGTACCAGAACGTGCTTCTGTTCCTCATCACCTCCCCGAATCAGCACTGGGGCAGGGGTCCCCCTCACCAGCTGATTATGCTGTAAATTCCCCATCCCCAATGGTTTATGAAATTAAAACTACTGCTACCCTGCTCCAGGGCCACGTTCCCAGGTGGCACCTTCAGCACAAACCCTGTGTCACCGCATCCACTAAGGGGAGCACACATTGGGGCAGAAAATCCTGGCACGTGATTCAAGAGAAAGTCCCACCACCAGACTTTCCCAAGCAGCTGTGGGGTGGAAAGGTGCCTCGCATGAGCCTGAATCATGGCCACTGGCAGACAGTCCCCGTTATCTTCCTCCCTTATCTCCTCCTTCATTTTCTTCCCTGTTCTTTGTGCTCCTGACATTTGCGCTCCCTGTTTCCTGATATCCACAGCAGGTGCAGCTAATACACAGATGCAGTTGCTGGAGTCATCATTTCCCTCTCCCTTTGATTTGCCAAGAGGGAAACAGCATCCTTGTTTTGCTTCCTCCCCCCACAGTGACTAACGGGCCACCCTATAAAACCATTACAGTAGCGACACATAGAGCAAGCAATCCTTGCATAAATTCACACAGAAAGAGACAGCTACTTCAGTGCAGAAGAACATTAATATAGAGCCTGTAATATGCTGTTTTACTATTAACTTGAGCTCATAAATCTTTCGCCTGTCTCGCCA